TTTTTTTCAATATATTGACGAATTTTTAGATCTTTATATGTCCATCTGGCATGAAATTCCACACACATGATCACACTGATATACCTTTTACACTGGGGAAGGCGCTAATCAGTGACAAATGCCAAGACAAAGGTGACATTCTGACAGCCTCTTATCTGAGTTAAAAATCACTGACAAAAGAGACTGGAAATCAATTTCCTCAGGCTGGCAATCATTAGCCTATAGAAATTGGTCATGTTACATCTTATCTACCTGTGAGAATCGTTTTACCAACTGAGTATTGCATAATAATGTCAATTATTAGTACTTTGAGCTAGTCTTAATTACCTGTCAGCTCACCTGAATTCTCTTTCCGTCTTTTTGGGAAGATCTTGTCAGTGAAATGCCAGTCGCGTACTTGTGATTTTTTAGCTCAGATAAGAGGCTGTCAGAATGTCACTTTTGTCTTGGCATTCGTCACTGATTTATGCCTTCCCCAGTGTAAAAGGTATATCAGTGTGATCAGTGTGAATTATTTTCCATTTACACTCTTTGTCGCAATGGCAGTCGATGCAGCATTCATTTTAAAACAAGTTGACCGCCAATTAAGCACGATTTGCACCTTCAAGTTCCGTGTCACGTTTTCATATCATGCATTTATTATTTCTACAAGTTTTCTCTGCCCAAAATGCGTAAAGAAAAAGTGTTATCTTACCATGTTGTTTAGAAAGCTTCTTTTTCCTCCGACAACCCGTCTTCACTGCCGTTCACCTCTATGTTAAAATGACCACTCAACTTCGTTTCTAACACCACTGCACGTCACTTCCGGCACAATTCTGACCAATGCTGATCTTCTCCGGTTCCCTTTATTATTAAATTATCAAAAATGGCTTCATAAAGAGAAGTTGTGAAAGTGAATTTCTGCACATTTTCTAAGGCAAACTACCTTGATCCCCAACATCAAAAAGAAGAGATTAATATTTTGCCCACCTGGGCTCAAGCAGAAAATATATAAACTTCAGAAAACAAGTTTTTATTTTTTAGAAATTTGAGTCGAATTGACTCTTTTACTGCTTTTTTTTATTAGAATTCTCAGTATTAAATCTCACCATCAAGCACTTGTATTTAAAATATATTTTTTCAGTATCATCACTTTTTAATTATACCAAATCATAATGCATTAAAAATTTCCTTCTGCTGTTCCATGACAATAAACATAATGCACACTCACAGCCTAGTAAGTGGAATTCAGATTCAAATATAATGCTGCAAAAGCTGACACAAGTTTTGCCCACTGCTGGACAAGATCAGAATCCCTTCACAGCCTTGGAGCATATCTGAATCCCTTACTAAAACATATCACTTCCCATAATGCTGTAAAAGCTGCCACAACATTCTCCCAATGCAGGACAAAGACATAAAACATAGGGTTCTTAATAATAAGCAGATTTTGAGCACATTCAAGAGTATATATACTGTAAACTGCACCTGAAATATAGGCTTTAGCTCTGAAACAAAGTGTATATATTATAAATCCTCTAAATGACATGGTACTTACCTTAAAGCTGCAAATGCGGGCACAGCCTTTGCCCAATGCATGGACAAGAAGAGCAAACGTGATGCGCTCTCGCAGATGTAGTGCACATTCAGATAGGTGGGCATGGGGGACGGAGTCGTAAGGTTGAACTGGAAGTTGTTATCCATCAAAATAGGTCCTACAATAAATATATTCTCAAACAGATTAGACAGACAGGCAGGAAGGCGAACAAACAAACAAATAAATAATTTATAACTTGATATTTAATATCAAAATTTAATTTTATTTATTTAAATTTTCACCATTCTAAGACATGATGTTCACTGTTGTATTACTGTTTAACAGATTTTGAGTTGTATCTAACCTGTGAGCTTAATTTAACTTTTTTATATCTTGCCACAATCATTATTTGCAGGCAAAGTATCATAATAAAAACTGATATTTTTGCATAACGTTATTTAATCGTCATTTAACTTACCTTCTAAGCTGTCATTATTACTATGCTCACTGCTACCAACCTGTGAAAAAACAATTAAAACTGGGTAGAGTAATTAATTTTTTTTTTGCACAATAGTATTTCTTCAGTTTAACAATCATTGTTGTTTTTATTTAAAAATTGAATTATCATGCATTGGTTTTGTATTGTTACAGTAATAGTTGCCCAAACTTGAATCAAAAGAAAACCCCTGAGCTCCACTTGAGTCACCCAGCTACTGGTCTATAAGCTGTTAATACCAAATTAAAGCTTTTTTAGTTAAAGCTAATTTTTTTAGTTAAAGCATAGAGATTATTTGAAATCTTTGAAATAGATTTACCTAAGAATGTGTTCCCATGAAGGGATAAATGGCACAAATGAATGCCAGCTACACCACAACTGTGTCTTGTTCTTCATATTCACCATGTTATAAATGAGATACACCACTTGCTTACAAAACATACATAACATCCACTTGTGCTCCTACATCACATACACCTCACTCATGGCCAACCTATTACCTACCAAATTATCTGTAGAGTTCACCATGGGGGCCTGCTGGATGGCCTTGGCCAGGGTGTCAAACGCCTTGGCTACAGAGTCATTCCCATCACCGGTGTCACCATTTGGTGTTGCCATGGGAACATTGAGTTCTGAGTTGTTCTCGTCTTCCTTCTCCTTGCCCATGGTCGCCAAGGTGGTGACCACACTAGCCAGTGTGCTGAGGTCTGGAAATATGGTATATGTGAAGTTTCAATTTAATAATTAAAGACAAAACATGGCATGATGCATACAATTGATTGTATTAGGTTGAATATTAAAATTAAGTGCCATATATATAAGTTACAAAGTCATAAGTAATATATGCCAGAGCTTTGCTCCTGAATTGGAATTTAAGCAGGAAATGATAAATTAACAAATCAGTTAACTCTTGAACCCATCAAGCTGGCAGTCACTCTGACAATCAGTCTGAAGGTCGCTTTGACCCATTCAGGCTTGCAGTCACTCTTACACAATCAGTCTGAAGGTCACCCTGACCCAATCAGACCAGTGGTCACTCTGACACAATCAGTCTCGCAGTCATTCTGACCTAATGAGGCCAGCGGTCACTCTGACCCATTCAGGCCAGCGGTCACTCTGACACAATCGATCTATAGGTCACTCCAACCCAATCAGTATTACCTGCATTTGATGCGGACACCCCAAGCACCTGTGGGCTGATCACTGCCACTCCTTGGTCAGTCTGAACCAACCGCTCCTGCATGTTGGCAAGTAAGTTCTCCCCAACTTTACCCTACAATGCAACAGTGAAAAGACCAGCTTATTACAAAATGACAGAAGAGACTGGTGTTAGTTTGTCTATTTATCTGTGCATCTATGACTACTATTTGGAGCAACTTCTATTCTATTCACTATACAGATTAAGCACTTGCTAACGAGTTGATGACAGGGAATCTCTGCTTGGAAAGCCACATTCTTAGACTTTGTAAGTGCCCAAAATAGGTGAGTCTTAATATTACATCGAGTCAGCAGTGTTTATAAATCTTCACTAATTAGTGCACAGTTAAATATCCTTAAAGGGATAATAACTCTTCGTATGAGATCTATATTTCACAATAAAAACATTGTGAAGAACTCACAGAAATATAATACATTCTTTTTTACCACAAAAACGGCAGTTATAGCTCTTATTCTGATATCCGAGCTTGTCTTTAGACCACGTGACCTCCATTGAAGGCTATACTCTGTTATAATCTCTTAAGAGATTTTTACAAAAAACCAAACTTTTTAGAAAAAAACCAGGGACTAACTAGCACACGAACGAAACGTAGTGCCTCGATATGAAACCAGACAACTTTTGTGTTTTTAATCTCCAAATACGAAAAAAAATCAATTAAGCTAATAAATAGGCTAACGTTAAGAACGTATTATATCGTTTGTTTTATATTAATTATTATTTAAGGTCATTATAATAAACAAGTCGCATTTCGATGTACTCCATGCTATGACCTTAATATATAAATAGCAATTTTTACGAGATTACTAATTGTATCGCATTGTTTGGTTCCATTGCCTCGCTTTCAAAAATTAGAACAGGCGCTCCAAAATCGTAAAACGAAGTTAAAAATTTTATATTGGCCGAGTTCCCCCACTGTTAAGAATATCCTCGCAGCATTATCTGCGGTTAACCTTCCTACGATTTTCAATGTATTTTGCAATGTAATTCACATTCCTCCAGATGAAGAATTTTATTAATCAAGAGTGGGGGAGGTGTGAAAATCCCCATTGGGGCCACATATAACACTATAAATACAATGGGAATCCCCTTAAAATGAAGGTAAAATAGATGTTTTTTCTAAGGATTTCAGACGGATTTACTTTTTACAACTTAAAATCAATAGAACATTTCTAATATAAACTTTCAAAAAGACACCAGAGAGCTAATGAAATAAAATCAACCAGACGGTAAACACTGGCAGGCTTTGTCAATTTCACCATTTGTTTATTTCAAACAGCGTACATTTCGCACATGCGCAGTAGTTTGAGACCTGTGCT